AACAGTTATGAACAAAAAAATAAAAACCACATCTGGCCATAAATTACATTAATTAATATTAAAGAAAATATACAGTATCTCAGTAAAAGTATATTAAAAGAAGTAATAATAACACCATTTTGAAAAAACAAAACATTATTTAAATGGAAAAACAAAACAAAATAATGTAAGCATGGGATGATTTTTAAAATTAAAACTCAATCAATTTTAATAACCATTCACCTCAGTCAAAATCTGTTTTGCAATATTTCTTTCTTTGTATAACGTCATTTTGGGATGTAAGAAGGAATTGGTAGAGATGATATTTAAATGAGGACAAGAAAGAGGCATGGTGGATATCAGATGGGAGATTAATACCACTAAAAGGAGATTTAGAGCTTCCTGATGATGAGGAAGTCATCTAGAATTTTCAATCTTCGTGGAATTTTGGAAAAAGTTAGAGAATATGAATGCAAAACACATCATCTCTTTGTCGATTTTAATTCCGCGTATGATAGCATTGATCGAGATGAACTGTACAATGCTCTCATAGAACTTAATGTTACTCCTAAACTTGTTCGGCTGGTAAGGATAAGCATGACAGGCATCTAATACTTTGTTCAAAGAAAGCGATTGGGGGGTTTCTTGACAGTAAGAGGAGTGAGGCAAGGAGATGATTTGGCATGCCTCCTCTTTAATCTGTCAGAGAAAAAGCTGTCAGAGAATCAGGAATTCAGACAACAGATATTATTTTCAACAGTCTATAGTCTCTATAACGAGCTTGATGTAGCCTCAATTATCAAGGCAGGAAGATTAAGGTGGGTGGGGCACCTCACACAGATGCCAAAGCAATTAATCTCAAAGAAAATAATACCGGAACAGCGGTTCAGCAGTGGCAGAGTTGGGAGACCCAGGCTGCATTGGTCGGACATAAGGTGTCGCAGGTGACTTAAGGTGCATTGGAGTGAGAATTTGGTTGGCAGTAGCACAAAATAGGGGCACATGGTGATTGCTGTTGGATGAAGCCAAGACCTGCTTGCGTTGTTGAGCTGAATTAATAATAATAATTCTGGTTAAACATAATAATTATTATTTGTAAAACTTTAAAATATATTTTATAGAGCTTCATAATAATTACTATAATTATTGAGATATTTGGTAATACTTTTTCCATTGTAATTAACTTAGTAAATAATGATAAATATAATTGCATATTTTTTAAAACAAGTCTTCTTACCAAAGTCTTTTCAAGTTTTTTTTTTTAAATTGATTGATTTTGACCTATTGATCATGATTGCTCTAAAATAAAGTTCATCAGCTTGGACAAAATAACCATTGCTTCAGTTAACAGAGTAACAACTCAAAAAGGTAAATTTTCACATATCCGCACATTGTTTGCAATAAGAATTCATATATTCAATTAAACTCTAATATTAATGTTAAATTGTCAAACGATAAATGTAAAAACATCTTTTCTATATAATATAGTGTTGAACCAGATAGATTTTGTTCAGTTGCTAAGAAGATATGCATCACTCAATAATAATTTTTTTTATAGATCTTGATCTGGAGCAACAATATATCTAATTGTCAACTCATCTAGTTTATCACCTGCATCATTATAACCTATAATTCATTACTAAATAATTATTGCCACACAATCTCTAAAAAATTGATATAGCCACACTGACCTGTCATATGCTTCTCTAATAATATTTTGAGGTTCTGAAAATGAAACAGATCAAATGACTTGAATAATAGTCAAATTTTGAGTAATTCTATAAATGAATTATATCTGGAAGTTATATTTTTGCAGTATGTCTCTTATATATCATTCTACTAATTTTTACAGAAATAATACCAATGAACTTATGCTTCTAATAAACATAAATGTTTCAAAAAATTTGGTGATACCCAAAGTAATTAAAATAAAATGAAAAATTAGTGGTATGTTAGATGACATATATTGTGTCACTAAAAAATAACTCCAAATTTTATTTATTTATTTTTTAAATATCTATTTTCCTTTAAAAGGGTTAGCTGAAAAAGATAAAATTTTAATTTTAATGAATATTTTTAATTGTTCTATATCATCAGCACCATCTTAAAGTAACGAATGTGAGCCTGCTTAACATTGCACATTAGTTACTTTAACGTGGTACTGATGATATGTTACATGTTGAACAAAGTCAACATTTATCGCTTCAATGCACTTTGTAATGTACACAAGAACTAAATATTTGCTTTCTATACCAAATTTTTGTATAATTAATGATCCTACATATTGATATTGGATCATTCTTTAAGTATAGTTTTCATCAATTCATAAAAATAAAATACTTTTTTTTAGAATGTCTCATATCTAATTGCAGGTTGTTCTAGGCACTCGGTGGTGTGGAAACGGTGATATTGCAAGCAGCTATTATGATCTTGGAACAGAAAGGAGTGATAGATGTTGTAGAAAGCATGACCTTTGCCCAATAAAGGTTCGGAGCACAAGTCCCAAATATGGGATTACGAACAAAGGATATTCAGTGTGGGTAAAAGTTTTTACATTTTAATGTTTGATGATTGATAGGTACAGAATTTGAATGTATATATATATTTGTTTTTTAAATTACAAAAATTAAACTACACAAGAAACTCTACTGCCATTTACAATAAACTGATAATTCGTACATTAGGACAAAACTTTTACCTTGAAGTATAAACTTCAAATTTAATGTAGATAATCAAATACTACACTCAAAGCCATGGCCTGAAAACTGTTGATTATTAGTCTTAATGTAATTTTATATCAGTATAATAATAATAGCATCAATAAATTGTATATACCTAATGGGCCCTAGTGATAATTTGAAATTTTTAATATGTTTACAATTGCTATAGCTACTTAGGTAACATAAGAGGTGTATATGAATGCACCCCACTTCATAGACTATACTAAATAGTTGACATAAAAATAAACAGAAAAACCGATAGGACATATTTGCCAACCCAATACACCCCAGAGATCATGGAAAAACAAGAAATAAAAAGATTTTCAATCATTTATCGTAGTCATTTTTTGTGAAAACAGTGGTACTTTTAGGTGACAGGATAAAATATGACATTATTTTTTTACACAATTTGGGCAAATCTTAATAACTTTTTTTCCTAATAAACTTAACTTAATTAATATGAACTTAAAGCTACTTATTAAACGAGAGTTTTTCTAAAAGTGGATATCTGACGCTAGTTGCGAGAATGATAAAAAAAAATCACAAATAATTTATCATTTTTAAAAAAATAAAACTTAGCTCAGTTTAGCCGCTCAAACGTTAAAGCAGTTAGAGAAGCTCTTTTAATGGTTAGAGCAATGACAAACACTGTTTTCATTGAAAGTAAATTTGGTCTAGTTTTCATTGAACCAATTATTGATTATTTAAATTAAATATTACTTAAATTATAATTTCCTATTCAACTAAAAACATGACTTACTTAAAAAGAAACAAAATATTAATTTTCTACTTTTCTACCAAAAATTGGACCAATGTTTATATAAACTTTTTTGTAGCACTTAAGTCTGCCAACAGTCCTATTTTCCTCTGCTTAAAGGATATCCTGTTTATTAAATAAAGTTCTTAGCTTGTAATTACCAACTTTTTAATTTATATATTGAATTTTAAATTAATATTTGGGATAAACAAACAATACATTAAATTCATAATCAGTTCTTTATTGAAAAAATAATATCCATTTAGAAATCCAAAATAATTAAAAAATCACAAGGCACAAGAAAAATTACTACCAAAATAGTCGAAAATGACATCTTAAATTCTAAGAGATTTTAAGAGAGATACATCTTAGATCTTTAATTCAAGAAATATTCTCAAAATGGCTGGTAGTTCAACATCATAAGAATAATACCATAAAACATAAACAACTGACTAATATAACAAGAATATTAATAACAAAAAACAATAATTGACTTTCTCAATATACTAATTATTTCATAATAGCACTTGAAAACTAACATAATTTCAAAAAAAAAGAATCTTCGAAACTCTGATACATACAGCATAAAAAATTTCACTAGTACTTAACATAAATAGTGTGTTATTTTATAGATATTCACATTAATGAAATTTTATTTAATAAATTCATAAGACAAAAATCTTCAATTTCAACTAAACATAATATATATCTAATATAATTAACTTTTGTTAATATAATTAGCATAGTAAACCGAACATCAAAAGATATTTATTTTTTTAGGTCCCATTGTGAATGTGATTACGAGTTCTACAAATGTCTAAAACGTACCAATAGTTCAATAGGATTTGCCATGGAATATTTATATTTTGAGTTTCTACAAACAATGTGTCTTGAAGGTACGCTGTCTAAAGGATTCAGATTACGAAAATCCTATTCTTATGCATTAGCAAAGAAAACATGAAAACAAAATCTCTGGACAGAATAATGGTCAGTTGAATGAAGAATTATAAAATATCTTACTAAATGATATGTTACTTCTGAAATGGTTATTATTTGTAAATATCAGAGGGAATACAATCCATTAATAAAAACACAAAAATTAAATGAAATAACTAACCAATACATTTTCAGAACATCTGAACAATCAGTTATGAATTTCAACTTAACAAAAATATTTCTCCATTAAAAAAGAACAAATTAATGTCAGTTTACAAAAATGTTAAATCATTTCATTTTTAACTGTGATAAACTAGCAAAGGTAAACAATATCTCACTTATTTTACGGCAATTAATTAATGGTAAACTATTGAAACTTTCTGAACATATTTGTATTCAAATTATTGTTGTGAATTATATAGGAGTATATAATGTACAATGTAAATATATACATACAAATTACACAATATTACAAGTAGTTTATAAATAATTAGTGATTTTTTTTTACAAAATTATGTACATTACTATTTATTAAGTATAAGAAATGTAAATATTTGAATAAGAAATAAAATGAATAACTGTTAAAATGTAAAATATATTCATTTTAGACCCTTTCTTTCCATAAAAAATTATGTTATATGAAACTTTTGTTAAAATTAAACAATATTTATTCTCAACACTTAGTTACAAAGTTAAATTTTTCAACAAAACTCATTCATAAAAATTAAATATGGAAGGCGTTCTTTGTTAAGTTTATTTAAATTAAGAAATGAATAACCTTTATTTTGGTGGTTACCTCTTTTAAAATCTTTGATCTGACATAGGGAACATCAGTAATGACCACCAACTTGTAGATGTTAGCACCAGTGGGGAGTAGTAATTATTCACTGAGCGAAATTTGTACTTGATGGATGAATAACAAAAGCTATTTCAGAAGAAGCTTAGTAAATACCACATGGCTCACCCAGTATTGAACAATTAAAAAGGATAGTGTGAATAATAATATGAACTATGTGATATTAACTGTTGAACCACAAAATACGGGAATTAATGAGTAGTAAAGAAATTGTATGTTTAACCAAGATAAATAAGTGGATACAGGTATTAAAAAGGTTGATGACCTGTGATCTAAAGTGCAATTTCTTTGGCATGAGGACCAGGTTAAGACCCAGGAGAAGCAATTCCAAGAATTGCCCATGAAACATCTACACCTACCAACTGTGTCTGGACTCGAGGGTTTCGATGGTGAACAATATTAGCAAGAACCCAATGTATTTCTTTGCCAAGATGAGGAAAATTTAATGTAAGAAAAAACTTGAAGACCTCACATGTCGTTTCCCATCTTCTCAGCAACATGCATGCAGTGATCCCTTCTGGATCTGGAATCAAGTTACCCATAATGCGCACCTGCAATAATTAATTAGTAAACAACTATATGTTTATGCTCAGTAAAGATAAAAATTAGATTAAAATAATAAAATCTAAAATTTATATATTCACTTTATGCATTGCAATATACAATATCTCATAAATTCTGAGATTTATTTAGATAAGAGGTTTTATTAGACAATTCAAGATGAAATGACCAATATTTTAGTTAATCCAGTTGTAAATTCAGTGATAATATTCAATTATTTTTATCAAATGTAAATCTTGGATCTCACACTTTCATATTACTATTTATTACATTAAATGATCCATTTTCTTAGGGATGCTTTAACAGATTCGAGGATGTCACGGCTGGTTTTCAAGAATTCTTTGGCTTCAAATTTAAACAAAGGATCCACAAGAACATAAACCCCCAGTCACAAGAAAAGTTTCTTGTTATGAAATAAAACACTGAAATTTCAAATAAAAACTTTGTTCTCCTTCTTTCTTTCTATCGAAATAGATAAGTGAATTCAATATTATTTTTTTATTTGCTCCACATTTCTAACACCCACACACAAACTAAAAGTTGAAAATATTATATGATTCTACCAGATATTTTTAGATATTTTATAGTAATTTTGAATAATAAAATTAAACATGCTTTAAATAATTAAAAAACTAAAATGCATTTAAGCTGTTGAAATAATTACAAACAATTTCTATTTAGATAACGAATAATTAATAAATTTTTATTCATTAGTTGAACAGATTTTATTTGAGGGCTTTGATCAGACAATTTATTCGTTATTTACACATTATCTAGATCATATATTATTCGTTATTTATGATAAATACTCCATTCAAATATTTTTCCAAAATTTTAATCACTTCCACACAAAAAAAATTTTCAGACTTTTCTTCTTACTAGTAGGCTCATGTGAATAATATATTAGTAAGTGAACAAAGGACAACATAATACAGATAAGTTAGTGCAATGTATTATGAGATAGATGAAATAATCTTATTTTTCTCAGTGGAATCACATTATTATTTTGCATTCATGATAATAAACATGTACATTACTATAAGCTATATTTTTGCTACATATTGTCTAATTTAGATGATTTCTTTTTTGTTTTGTAGGAAATATAATAATCTTTCAACTATTCATGGGTATAATCCAGAAAAAATGTATTCTCATATGAATAAATGGAAGCATGTTGAAGTTATCACACTTTTTTTAATTTTATAAACAAAAATTCAGCGTCTTTTGGGCTCTCATTTATGTGCTCAATGAACCTGGGCTCCGATTCAGTGAACAAAATTTTTATTTTTCGATTACTATGAAAATTCATATTTTAGGGTTTTCTTAATAGTATTACAGAAGAACCTAAACAACTTCTCTTTAATTGAGGGTTTTTCGAGGTGGGAAATACAAATCTATCGATTTTGACAATGTTTATTTTTGTTCTTTAGGGACTCTAGTAATCTTTTAATAAATCATAGGTACAGTCAAGAAAAAAATGTAAACTTTTTGAGTTATTCGCAAATAAAGTTGTGCTTTTTTTCTCGTCCCAAGACTCCCACTAAAGTCCTATACTGAATAAAGTTTCTTTTCTTTCATAACTTTTTTTTTCCTGAAATTTCTCCATCTGAAGGAGAAGAAGGGCTTCAAAATGAGGGCTCAACCCTCAAACTCAAAAACGGATTTGATGAAGAATTGATGAAAATATGCTGTAGCAACAAAAAAAAAACCTTTGAGTAATAATATATAAAGATATTTCATGAATGGGAAAGAATGTTTCCATAATTCAAGCTTTCATTCAATATAACATTGAATCACACAATTAGTTTTTGGTGGTTCAAAATATTTTCCGACTGTGAAGAGTCAGACTAAAAAATAGAGGATTTAAGAAAAAATAAAAGAATCCTACTAGGCAAACACATCACCGATGCTCTGGAGACTCTTGCCATGTGGAAAGAAAGTGCAACTAACTTGGAACCCTGGCCACATAGGGATTTCTGGTAATGAGGAAGCTGACAAGCTTGCATGAATGACACAGAGACTCCTTTCCCAGATCCTGCATTAGGTATCTCTTTTAAGAGGTACCAATGCAGAGAAGTCCTTGATTGGGAATGGAGGTAAGCTGGAAAGGAGTGGTGGAGTTTTGCGGGCCTATGACAAGCCAACAATTCATTAAAAAACCTCACATAAAGTGGCTGCTTGGTCTAAAAAAGAATGAATTCAGATTAACTACTATAAGCCACATCAGACTCAAAAGACAGTTAAAGATTTGCCAGATAGTAATGGACAAAACCAGCCACTCATATGGGAAGGCACAGAAACTGCCCTATATTAAGTAGCAGAATGCGACCAATATGTGTCGCTTAGGTACAGCATTCTCTTATAGAATTTTATAACAAAAGGTATCCTCCATCGAATGGCTGTTCCTTTCAAATTCCATTAGGAAAATAAAAAGGTTTGATATGGAGGAAAAATAGTTTCCATTAGTTTTTTTTGGGGGGAGGGGAAGGAGAGGGTTGGTAAAAAGCAGCGCTAGGCCCACTTGCCAAATTCGTTTCCCCTCTTTATTTTCTGACTATTTTGAGTAAGGCTAAAAGGAAACATTTTCTGAAATTTCATACACTTTTCCTCTTTTTTTGGAGGGGAAGGGGGTTTCACAATTCAAAATATATTCTGACTATCTGGAACTGGAAATGGACAATTGGTTATTCATGGCTCATAATAATTTTCACATTGCTTACAGGGAGACTAACGATTGCACACAATTTTTACTTTTAGTCTACCTAAACTGTCAGGAAATAGTTAGAACCATGAAAAACTGATCACTCATTCCAGAGATAATAGAGGAAGCCCTTAAGTGGAGAAAAAACTTGGAGACTGAGCTTCCTTGTACAACTGTAGTGGTACAATTATTAATTAATTATTATTATCAACAAGTTTCTCTATTTATCAGGGATAAATCAGTGAAACCGCATAATAAAACCTTCTCTTATAAGTTGTATACAATCATGTCTTGGACACTTGGCAAGGCAGAGGAAATAAAGGTAAGAAATATTAATACAGATGAATATCAAAGATATAATTAACTGCATATCTCATACTGTAGTATTTTAAAATCTACAAATGTCATTTTTAAGAAGTACATCGTAATATTTATATCAACAAAAGAATCAAAATACATCTTAAATAAATTATTAACAATATTTTTGCACAAAATGATTAATTCCTTACCAGAGATGTGACTGCTAAAATGTTATCAATACGAATTTGTCGATGAGAGCTTAGTAATGTCAGTATCCTCGAATGGACATCATTTTGGAGGAGAAAAGGATTCACATAAGAAAAAGGTGTTAATTGGTAAACTAGCCATTGTACTTTATCCATCATCTCAAAATAAGGAAGTACAGCATTTAATAAATTTTTCACATCAGCTTCTCTGTTAACAAAAGAAACATGTATATCTATATTAAAATTTTTAAAAATGCAGATTTATTTACTAGCACCAAATGATATATCAAGACAATAGTCCGCAGTACAGATCTCTTTTTATCAAATTATTAACATCCATCTAAAACGTTGGGAATGGCTTTTAATCGTATCATAACCTAAAACTGTTTTTATCTATTAAAATTTTCAGAAATGGGGCATTTTTTCATTACATTAATTAATTTAATGAAGTAAAAAAAAAACTCCTGAGTGCCCATTTTCTTTGTACTTGAATCATAAGATAAATTGATGACAAAATCAACAAAAGAGGTGGGCTACAGAAATATTTGATCGTTTGCCCTACATAACCTCCTTATTTGACATTTGTTTGACACTAAACGACTCATTTTTGTATACCACCTGTTTTTCTCGATTTTGCGATCAAATTATCTTATAATTCAATTGCAAAGCAAAAATATTCATTATTTTTAATACCTCATTAAATAGACAAAGTTTACTAATCTCCAATTGAAAATGCCTCATTTCTGAGAAATTTTAATAAAAAAAAGTTTTAGGTTCCAATAAGATAAGGACATTCTCAAAGTGTTAGATGGCTGTTAATAATTTGATAAAGAGGGGTCTGTGCTGCACACCTCTCAATAAACTTGTGTAACCGATATCAATATTTTTTTTATAATTAATTCTAGGAGACCTTTTTTATTTTCAAGCAGCAAAAAAGCTTTATAGTATATTTTATTAAAAAAATAATAACCATCTTAAAAATTGTTGACTAAAAAGTAAAAATGAAATAATATGGTTATTTAATTTCAAATAATCCAGCCAAAATCAAAATGAAACCCTCAAAAAGAAAATTTTTAAAATCAAAACAATTCTTACTATTTATTAGAATTGATAAGCAGTATAATAAAATAAAAAGTCATTTAAATGAGGGAGTAAATATGAGGAAGTTCTAAATATAAACAATTGAGTATTTTTCATAGTTCTGAATAGTTGATACTGGCAAACCAGGCCAACAAATCATACTAATGCCATAAAAGATGTGAAACAACTCTAATATCATCGAAATAAAATATTTCAAATTTAGCTAATCCACTAAATAATTCCTTCACAATTGTATTCCAGCTTTCCAGGGTAGTTCTAAGATTGACATAAGTATTTTCTCAATTTTAGCACATGAGATATGCCTAAACTTCAGACCAATTTTGATGTTTTTCCGGCTGTGCAGAACTGCATTGGAAGTGATTTTCTGAGGAAAACCAAATGATGCATAGTGAATAAGCCAATTTAATTATTAAAATTGGATTTTTTGAAAAGTATAGGTCAGTACGTACACTAAACCTCACAATTTGATTCATAGTTTGTAATTATTATTATTCACATTTATTGTACTTAATAATCCGAAAAAGAACAGGGGATTGTGATAATCATATATCTGTAATATGAAAATTGAGATTATTTTGATAATTATTTCCTAGTGATCAATTTGGAGTAGTAATTCAGAACTAGTGTCCTGTAATAATACATTTATAGACAGAAGTATATGAACAGAAATTAAAATGATAAAACAATTATCTAAACTCATATTAAGAACCATATCACAGATGCATAAGCCTAGAACAAGAGTCGTGCAAAGAGACCATTAAAATTTAAGGAGCTGTAAATTTTAAAAACAAATTTATTTATAGAATAAATAAAAAATTATTGTTATTAATTTTATATTGTTTTGACCTAAATGCAAACAATAAAATGAATTGATGTTGTGCGATATTTCAAAATACATAACCTAAAATAGCATAAATAGACTGTTAACTTTCTTTGATGAAAGGGGTTGAAAGATGTGGCAAAAATAAGCTTGGCTTTATTAAACCTAGTTCCTTCCCTGATAATGCATAAAATGTTCAGTATCTCAGTATAATATGAGACGGTGGTTGTCAAGCATGTAAAAGAAAAGCATGCCTGTTTTAACATTCTCGAGCATAGACAGGGGTTCCAATCCAACCTGGGCAAGTTGAAATTTAGTTCATGGCAGACCCATACAACCATATTATAAGAATTTTTGTATTATGAATATACTTACACGAGGATTTTCGATCCAGTTTTGGTAAACGAAATCAAAGTTTTGATTGTGTTATCTCGAAGCTCAGGTATAGACATTGTTCTTAATAAGGCATTAAAAATTCCTTGTGAATACAGAAGATCACATATTTTCTCTCCACTTCCACTCAAATTAAATAATGAAATTATGCATACATTCTGTAAAGCAAAATCTGTCACTAGACTGTATAATATTAATACTTTAATTAATTTTCGGTAATACTGTACAAATTTCACTCCACTTTCATCAGTTGCAAAAGATGTGTTCAAAAGCGACAATAGTGACTGATCTATCTGGTAAGGCACTGGTATCCACTGAAAAGGAAGCATTGGAGTTTTTTTTTATTTAGAGAGAGTGTGAGAGGAAGGAAAGCAGCAATGTAATCAAAGCTAATTAACATCCCAATTTTGACTGAAAAGGACAAGTGAGGAGTTTGCGTAAGTCATAAATTTTGATCTAAATAATACAGTAGCCCACTGAATAAGGAGTGACATTTGTACAGTGGTACCTTAATTTCTTACACTTATAACAGCAATTATAATCATGGATCTCAATCAGTTACCATTAAGTTATAGTTCAATCCTTGCAATATTGTAATAAGGTATGGAGAGGCAGATTTAGCAAGCTTAAAACACGTTTTAGAATCACCCATAGCCAGATTACTGCAGCATTCAGCTGCTAGCAATTGTTCCACTGGTTTCTTACCTGATACAGATAATGAATAGTAGCTAATCCATAGTTACAAGATTGATTCAAATACAATCATACTTACTCATCAAGTACCCAACTAAAGCATGTAAAGCACCTTCAACCTTCATGAAAGACACCATATGACATTGATCCAGGATGAAGGCTTTCTTTAAATCCATTAAAGACTGTTCTCTTGAATCACTAGGACCATTACAAATCATACGAGCAGTCTTTATTACTTCTTCTTCGCTAAATTCTTTTGTTAATTCAATACGACTAAGTTCAGAAGTTAACTGCCTTTGCTTTCTATACATTTCTTTTCTTCTTTTAATTCTCTCGGCATGACTGTTATCTCGAACACGTTTTAAAACCTCGTCAGCTCCTTCATCACCCATTGTGAGATTAAAAAGTAATTCTTTAAAGCAAATAATAACTCTTATATCACAAAAGATGTGAATATCATTCATTGACCATTTTGAATCAAAGGGATAACATATCCAGGAAAAGAAACCTTCTCATTCAGGATTTAACGTGACTCCTTCCACTTGAATAAACAGGCATAGTAATTGAAAAACTAATTACTGGATCTTTTTACATCTACAGATTTATTAGATCGTTGCATATATTAAAAAAGAATTTATTTACTTCACCAACATTATATTTTTTTAATATTTTAAAAATGTTAATTTTTTAAATATTTGTCTAGATAATATTAAAAAAAGTAAGATGAAATTAATCAATTTTAATGATTTATCTGATTCATTTATTAATAATACAGTGTTATTGAATATTATTTGTTACTAGCAAAAATAAACTCACTGCAGACCACTAGCGGATCCAGGATTTAATTTGGGGGAGGGAGGCTTCAACCCGGAAGCTTTTTGTTTTCTTATATATAACGATAACTACTTTGGGAAAAATAAAGATACCAACTACCTATATGAAATGGTATTTAAGTGATTCTTGAAGTCCTGTTATTTGTAATTACACGGACAATAATACTTTGAGAAATATTTTTTTTCATAAAACATGGTTATATTTTACCATTTTGGAAGGCTTCAGCCCAAAGTCTCTCCCTTCCCCTTGTTGATCCACCAGTACTACAGACACTAGCGGATCCAGCAGAGGGGTGCGGGGGGCGCGCTCCCTCCCCCCCCCCCTGGAAGCTGGAAAAAAAATTCAAAAAAGTTGCCAAAAACATATTTAGAAAGAGAAATATAAGGAAAATTCATCCTCATAGAAAAAAAAAAATTATCGTGACCAACACTAGGGAATCCCTTGGGTAGTAGAAAAAAATTCCAAAGAAGTTCCTAAAACCAGCTATTTAAAGACAAAAGAAATGTAGGAAAAATTTATTCTCATAGGCCAATTTTCTAATATAAAAAAAAATTATCGTGACCAGTACTAGCGAATTGTGCTAGGAGGCGCGCCCTCCCTTGGACGGTGGAAAAAAAGTTCCAAAAAACACCTATTTAAAGAAAAGGGAAATATAGGGAAAATTCATCCTCTTAGGCGAATTTCCTAATGTAATAGAAAAAAAAAAGTATCGTGACCAGCACTAGCGAATTCTGCCAGGGGGCGCGCCCTTCCATGGATGGTAGAAAAATATTCCGAAAAAAGTTCCAAAAACACCTATTTAAAGAAAAAAGAAATATAGGGAAAATTCATGCTCATAGAAGAACATTTTAATGTACTATTAAAAAAAAATATTATCATGACCATTTTTATTAATCTTACGGTTTGTCATATTACGTCACCTCACCAGGCGAGATTTTGTGAAACCAAGAATAGAATGTAATAACAAAAGTTGGCTCGTAGGTTGAAGTGGTGTAGTTTTTGGGACACCATGAAATTCCGAAGGCTCCAGTCGTAGTTTGTTCCTACTGACTCCGAACTGAATCTCACAGGTGGGATACATGATGGAGAAAAATTAACTAATTAAAAAACTTTATTTATTCTTTCGAACAAGCTTTTATTCGAGCCCAAGAAAATACAGTTTTTCCCCCGCAGTTTATATTCAGTTTCAATAGATCTGGACGCATTGCAATCTCCACCAACTATTGTCTCCTTGAAGAATCCATGGAATTCATAAAATTGGTCACTATAATAATTTGTATATTTCTCATTAGAAAGTGTTGTTCTTTTCTTAAAATAGCTGCTGTTGGAAACGTTTTCATGAAGGAAGGTACTAATTATTTGGTCTCCGATTTGATCGGAATCTGATTGTGATCTGAATCGGAAATTATTCTGAGTTTTCTTTTTTATAGAACTCATTTGAAACTGCAGGCCCATTTACATTAATCTGTCTCAGATTTTGACAATGATGGTAAAAATTAGCGTTCATTGATTGTAGTTATCGACCATATTACTTAATCAAACTATTCAGTTTACGTTCGACAAACAATTGGACATTCTTTAATTTCTTGAAGAATAGGTTTTCCTCTTTGATGCATGTTTAAGTTGTAAATATTTCTGCTGCAAATATTTTTCTCTCGGTGACCCGTGTTAGCAATTTTTTTTTGCATATCTAAACCCATATACAGGATATCCCGTAAGTAGAGACAAACATTTAGAGGAGTGATAGCAGAACTGAAGAAACACAAAAAAATTTATACAAAGGTTTGATTTTCAGCAGGAAAGTAGGAAATTAAGTTTTGTGACTTTTTAAGTATGTCACGTTTTTTGGTGAATAGGAAGTGATAACTAAAAACTATTTAATTTAAGTGATTAACGATTACTTCACTGTAGATTAAATACAATTTACTTTAAATAAAAATATAGTTTGCTTTTGTTAAAACCATTTAAAGACGACTTCTGAGCGGCGAAACTCAGCTAATGAGTGGGGTGAGATGGGTAGGAGTGGGGGAAGGTGCACCCCTCCCCCCTGGGAAAATTCCTGGATCAGCTACTGACTACAGATACATTCCACGAAAATGTTTAAGTGTGAAATGTTTAAGCACATCTTAAGATGTTTGAGAACTCTTTCCTTGACTCAGAAAAGTTTTCATGGAAATAATCAATTCAATTCAAACTCAACAGAAACATGAGCTTTATCCAAATTTTGCAAGGAAGAAGAGAAAAATCTTCTGAAGAATAAAAGTGAAATTGGAGCCGTTAATCTGAAGAGTATTTTCCAAAATAAGCAATTGTTTTAATCTAATTGTAAGATGTGAAACCTCAATCAATGAAAACTTTCAGTTGGACAGTTGGATCCAAGATATTTCATGAAATTTAATCATTATAATATTTGCTCAATACTGACAAATTTGGTGACTAAAGAATGCTATACTAATGGATAGGAAAGATGTATATTACATACAATTTAAAATATTATGATTTCATAATTAAATTGTATTATTATACTATTCCAATGTTGGATATACTATATATTCATTATATTTGATCAATATTTTATATTGGATATGTTTGGTATCATATTAGGTATTTATACTATGTTTTAATTGATTTATTTGTTTCTGTTTTTGTATTTTTACTTTCACTTACGCATATATATAATATAGTAAGGGTAAGCATTGCGATCGTGAAAATTTTCACGATTTTGTGTGTGTGTGGGTTAACAGTCTAGCCCATAAACGAAAAGTAGTAGGAAACTGATATTAAGCATTTAGGGTTTGTATATGAGCCCTATGTGACAGTAACTTTTTCGTTAAAATCGGATAACCGGAAGTGCCACTTTATACGAACAGTGAAACACATTTTTACAATTTTTAAAATGTGTAATGTTAGTCTACACATCCTTGTCTATTTGGTTCAAAGAGTAGTTTTATAATAATAACATATACTTTACAATGATAACTGTAGCTTTATCAATTACAATATCCTAATCAATAATCATAATTCTGTGAATGAAGAATGGGAAATTAAAATTAAATTTGTATGGCATATAGAATGATAATGAATGTATGTTCAATGGCATTATTTGCCGAAAATGGTAGAAAGGAACTAGAATTAGGTAGGCATAAAAGCTTAAAAAACTTCATCAAAGGGATGAATGATCTCCAGATTCAAAAACAGAAGACTAAATAGAAGAAAATATTTATTGAGAAAAAGGCAAACAACATTGTGAAATTTGCAAAATAAAACAAACTCTTATAAATATGTTTTAAAATAAAAACAACTATACCTGTTTAAAAACCTATTAAAGTTTAATTTACTTTGTATCTGAGCAGTCACATAAATTTTATTTAAAACTTACCAATATATGTACAACATTGAAATTGAAAAATTTACAATTGTAATAATTGAAGGAAGACATGTACCAGTGACACAGATGTAACTAGTCTAAAATATATTGTTGGTGTATTAAAGATATTTTATACATAAAACATTGATTTGAATATTTAGCACCTACTAAGTACAAAATTTCCAAATTACTTTATTATAATAAAGTACAGCCATATTATCATAGGTAGATCTAATTAATATAAAAAGAATAAAACGTAATTCTAAAAATATATAATGTAAACCTAAAAAATTAACATAAATAAATAATGAATACTTAAACATTAAACAGTAGGTTGAAGTAAATACATTTTGCTATCAGCTCAATGAGGTGGTTCACTTATATCATTAAACAATAAACAACTACATACAGGAAAGCTTCACTGTTTATTTCCTAAAGTAGTTTCATTTTATACCTTCTTTTATTTTATATTGGATACTACGAATTAATTAAATTTTAATAATATAGAAACTTTCTTATTAGTGTTCATATTCTATTAATTGAGGTATACCCTTATCTGAATCCAGAAATAGGAATAATGCAATTCAGAAGCAATATGATTATGAAATAGACTTGGGAAAGAGTCATGTCAATCCAGTTAAAAATAAACATTTTGAACATTTAAAAAGTCTACATTGTAACAGACATTCCAGTCATCAGATTATTTGATGAAACTAGAGTTTAAAAAAATTAACAAATAAAATTATTATTCAATAAAAATCTATGTTTTTCTATCTATGATTGTTCATCACATATACTTAATATATGTCATGAACTTTTTATTTATTTAATTATATTTTTAGGAGCCATGACTAACATAGATTACAGGAACCTTCTTTGGATTGTATTTTCTTTTATGTTTTCTATAAAATCAATTACTCATAAAAAACTTGATCTGATTTTTCAATTTTTGTGAAACCACGACATATAATAAAGTCTGAAGAAAAGTAAACACTATTAGCTTTCTAATATATTTTTTTCTGTTGATTCGCTGTAATATGTATCGTATATCAGTGGAGAACTATTTTCAAAGTAATGCCTATGTGCAGGCCTGTTAAATCGGATTCTGAATCAAAGAACGATGATTTGTTCTCCAGAATTTCCTGTCCAAAGTGAGGTATATTCACACATTATCATATTATTACTTTATTGTATTTAAGACTAAAAGCAGAATCATCATTTTTTGTATATTTATTTATTAAAAATCATTTAGTTATTCACTCATATCATGTTAAAGAATCATAACC